CTAAGCTACAACCCCAGCCCCTATGTTTAATTTTTTGAGGAACTGCCAGACTATTTTCCAAAGTGGCTGTACAATTTTACATTCTTATTGGCAATGCTGACTTTGCATATTCCAGCAGACCACTCAGTCAACAGAAGGGAAGAAACCTGGAGTAGACTCTCCCAAGTAAAGCAGTTGTGCAGTAGACCTCTGCTGGGGATTTTGGGAGATGTACCTCTGCTATGAGCTCAGCTACCCATTCTTATCATCTGGGAGAGAGCTGTTGGAGAGGATGGAGAAGATTTAAAAACCATTTAAAGCCAGGAGCTGTCTTTTCTTAATTCATCCTATAAGACTTGGAGTAAAACTATCAGTAACAGAGGAAGTAACTAAGAACCTTAATTAAGTTCTTTAAAAGCTAAAACCAGGTACAGTGGTGCCCATCTGTACTTCCAGTGACTTAGGAGGCCAAGGCAGGAGGATTGCAAGTTTGAAGCCAACTTGGACAACTTGGCAAGACTTTGTCTCAAAATAAAAAATGTAAAATGTAGCTCAGTGGTAGAGTCCCTCTGTGTTCAATTCCCAGCACCAATAAACAAACAAACAAATTAGTCAGTTTCTCTTAATCTAAATTCAAAGTTTATCAGAGCATTTGGCTACTGGCTTCCAACTTCCTAAACTGCAGCAGTCCAGACAGCAGATTCTACCCACTTTTCCATAGATCTGCCCAAGGAAGCTCAACTTATTAATTCTAAATTGCTATCACGTGGAAATACATAACTAGAAATTTATCAGTCATTTTTCTTGGAACTAAAATCGACAGGATTTTAGACATGTCCTTAGAATCTAGCCATTAATCCCTTTCAAGCCTTTCTAAAATCTTTATAGCATTCTGCTTTTCAATAATTATACAACAATTTCTTTCTCAAAGGATCTTTAGAATACTAGAAGAAGCTCTACTCTCTCCAAGTCTCAAGCAACTCTATAGAAATTCCACTATCAAATTCTCAGGACAAAAAAATCCAAAAGTATAATAAAAGTATAAGGAAACAAAAGGCTACAAGAATGGGTTACAAAATACACTTCACATATTTGTATGTTCTATTTAGACTTCACAACAGTCCTACAGCAAATGTCCTTTGATCCCTCCCCCACTTTTTTTTTTTTTAAACAGAAAAGAAAATGGATTTAGAGATATCACTTTCCCAGGAACATATGAACAAATGGAGCAAAAGAAGAAACTGGGCTTTAGAGTTAGTACTGTATAACAGTTAATGGTTAAATCTCTGGTTAGAATGCCTGGATTCAAATCCTAACTTTATTGCTCACTGTGCAATCTTGGATAAGCTACTTTTTCCCTCTAAGCCTAGGTTACCTTCTCAAAAGTGCAGACAATAGCAGTACCTGTCTCACAGGAGGTGGGGCTGTGAGCATTGTACTAGCACATTTGCCTCAATATGATATCTGAGTTATGAGTGGTTTCTGGATTGCTGACAGAAGCTGCTCTCTTTATGAGTCCTATTTTCTCAAACCAAAGATTGAGAAACAGGAAAAAGTTCCTTTATTTGCTGCTTTAGCAGAAAGCAAAAGTAAACATTCCCAAATTCTGAAAAAATCATCACTATTCAATCACAGTCACATAATTAATAAAGACCTAAAAGGTTTTTTGTTTGTTTGTTTTTGGTAGTGGGGACTGAATCCAGAGGTACTTCACCACTGATCTATAATTAAAATTTACAATATTAACATAAAAGTGTTAATATAGTATATCCTTTTAAGAAAATGACTATTTACCCTACTTTTCAAAGGAGCTAATATTTAAGCTGTCAGAAAGATCTTTTTGCCATTAGGAAAACCTTGGTTCAAATAAAAACTTAACTAAAGTTACTAAATCTCTGAGGAGGACATTTCTTACTGAGTAGGGTGGTTATAAGAGTTAAATAAAATCATATATACAAAGTGCTTAGCACACTGTAGTAAGAACTCAGCCTGGGATAGCTATAGTTATTAAGCCCACTGTAGAAAACTGGAAAGAAAAGCATAAGAAAGAAAAAGGTCACTAGTAATTTTTCCTTTCAAGGGCAACTACTGCTAACTTTTAGTCATTTTTTTTCTATGTATTTTGTCTTTATATAGATTTGATCTCATACTACATAGACTAGGTATCCTCTTTTGCTTGTTTTGTTCTTTTTGGCCTATAGCATAAATTATGACTAGCCATAACAGCTTCTTTATGACTTTTAATAAAAGAGTTTTTCCTAGTTATGAAACTCTTGGGAATGATATGCTCTTGCCTACTATACCTTTCTGCCACTTTGAGGTCTCGCCTCCTGGTCCTGGACCAGTTCTGTCACCATCATCACTTGGGACCACCAAAGAAAATCTCCTAAGTGCATATGGGGTGCAGAGTATGTACGCGTCCCACAAACGCAAAGGCATAGTTCTGTAGGCCACAGTGTAGGGTAGTACAGAAAGTCTTATATTCCATAGCCACCAGTGTGACAGAAGTCACAAAACAAAAACAAAAACCCCAAACCTGATCACCTGACTTTGAAGATCCTTTCTAGATACCTTCTCTCATCTCCTCAGCAAAAAAAGAACAGATTTATTTGGAGATTTGTTTATTTAAGATCAACAACAATGGAATTAGCAGTAGTAGTGACTGCAGAGTTCCCCCTAAAACCAGAGAGTTGGCAAAAATAAATGTTATAGATGATTATATTTACATTTATTTTTATTTAATTTTCACTAACTTTGTATCTAGTGTATAAGTTGTATTATTTGGGCTAAAATGTTAGATTAAAACTGCCAGGACATTAAAGTCAAATTTAGCTCTAAATATTTGAACTATCTCCACTGTACTGTCATGCTGAACTACCCCTCACTCTCCAATGATGTCAGCTCTTGCTTTTTTCAGAGAATAGAATTATCCCTATAATTGTGGAGCCCAAAATATTCAACTAGATACAGAATTAGTGAAAATGAAATAAAAATTAAATGTAAATATAATCATCTATAACAGTTGTTTTTGCCAACACTCTGGTTTTAGGGAGAACTCTGCAGTCACTACTACTACTGCTATTCCCATTGCAGTTGATCTTAAATAAACAAATCTCCAGAAGAGTGATGGCCAGTGACTATACAGAGAAGACATTAAAATTAATTGGGAAACAGCAGATTGGGGTTTCTAAAGGGTCTGAGATTTTGGCTCTATCACTGATGAGTTGTATAACCTAAAGGAACACAAATTCTCTGAACCTGTTTCTCATTTTAAAAATAGTAATCTAGGGCTGGGGATGTGGCTCAAGCGATAGTGCGCTGGCCTGGCATGTGTGCGGCCCAGGTTCGATCCTCAGCACCACATACAAAGATGTTGTGTCTGCCGAAAACTAAAAAATAAAAAAAAATTTTAAAAAAGTAATCTTAATCTCTTTCAGTCTTATAGATTTTTTTTTTTTTGTACCAGGCATTGAACTCAGGGGCACTAGGTCACTGAGCTACAATCCCCAGCCTATTTTGTATTTTATTTAGAGACAGGGTCTCACTGAGTTGCTTAGTGCCTTGCTTTTGCTGAGGCTGACTTTGAACTCACGAACCTCTTGCCTCAACCTCTGGAGCTGCTAGGATTATAGGCATGCATCACCGTGCCCAGCTTACTTACAGAAATTTTGCTTAGAAGAAAGTAAATAATGCATGTAAAAGTAATTTGTAGCTTTTTAAAAAGTATAAATATAAGGGGGAAATATTCTGCTTTTAAGATAATAGGGCAGGGGGAGATGAGTGAATCTCAAACACATCCAAACTGCCTTTTGAATTTTTATGTACGGTCAATAACTGCTCTAACATGCTAAAAAGACAAATCACTCTGAAAGATTTCATCTATGATTATCCAGATTTCCTCCATACATGCATCATGCTGATTAAAGGGCTAGCTATCTTCATGCTGTGTTAGAGGACACTGAAGTTAGAACAATATAAAAGCTTATATCAAGAGCTTATACCAGCTAAGAAAGCATCAAGGAAAGTTAAGGAATTAGAGGTAGAAAGGATAAGCATCACCAAGGTCATAATAATTTCAACTAAAAAAAATAAAAGGTATAAACAGCTTAGAATTTAAAGTAAGGTTAAGAGATGGATTTTCCAAAGAGGGGGTCACTATTGGAACCCCACAGACAAGTGATTTTGTGTAGCTATTACATGCAACTCCTCCAGAGCCTGACATTTGATTACATTTAAAATTCATCTTTTGATTCCCTTCTCCTTCCTTCCCCATACACTGTGTGTTCTCGCCCCAACCCCCCACTTTTTCCTCCTTTGACTTATTTCCATTTCAATTTCTTCTAAGAGTCTAGGTCCAGTATCCTACTGGTCTTAACCTCTCCTTGCCTAGCTTTTCTCCTTGTATATACCTCTGGTCCCAGCATCCCACATGAACATGCCTCTTTGGAAAAAATCACATCTCAGGAGATAAAACATTATTCAAAACTATATTACTTTTTTTTTCTTAAATAGAAAGAATAAGATTTTTAAATTTCAAGCTGTTTCCCTAAGAGGAGAGAGGAAGTTGGAATGCGGGAGAAGCAATGGTGGTTCCAAACCGGCTCAGACTTGTCAGACTTGGTCACTGGTGGTGGCACTCTGGCATTCTCATTCCATCGGGCAGTCAGTTAATGCAGGTAGGGGGAGGGGAACAGATGGGCAGACAGACTTGCAAAAATGGAGAGAAACAAGTAAGATAAAAAGATGGTAAAGGGAGTCAGAAACAAGGAAGAAAGTTGGAGGGCAGATGGAGAAAAAAATAAAGGAAAGGAGAAAACAGGGTTACAGAGGCAGGACTGAAGAGAGAGAACTAGGAGGGAGAGAACAAAAAGACAGCGGGTATTAATAAGGGTGGGATTGAGAGACCTGTGCCAAGGGCAGGGCGGGAAGAGGGGAAGGGAGCTAGAGACTGCCATGCCTAGCCTCATCTACTGTGTGTACTTCCTTACACTGTCATCGGTAGCTGCCTTATCTATTTTCACCTCTGGCAGTAGCCGCCCGCCAATGTGGGAGCCCGGCCCGCCGATGAGCGACACCACGCCATTGCAGTCCACGGTGCTGTTGCGCTTCACGCTGCGCCGCAGACTGGGGAAGATGCGCGAGGAGCGGCTGCCCTGGCTGTAGCCGCTGTAGCCGCTGTAGCTGCTGCGACGCTCCCGGGCCCGGATGGGGATGAACAGCGAGTCCCTGCGGCCTTCGCTCTCCTCCACGGTGCTGTGCTCGTCGTCTGCAAACTCGTTCTCCGAACCTGGGTCTCGGAACCGCCCAGGGCCCCGGAAGCTGAAGATGCTGCTTTTGCTGTTGTGGCGGGAGAGGAAGGGTGAGCCTGGGATGCTGAGCAGTGACTGAAGGGGGAAGAAAAAAGAAAGAGAAGCATGAGTTGGGCTGGGATCCCTTACAGGATAAGCCGAGACAGTGGTGCTGCCCGCCCAAACCCCACCCTGGAAGCTCTCTTATCAGAATGCAATGTTCCCTAGAGTAATGTTGCATGTTGTATTTCCACAACTCCATCACCCACTGTTACTTCCCCTCCTCCATACCCTCTGAGACACTCCTCTGTCTGACCAGCTAATCATCTAGAAACTCTACTCGCTGTTCACTAATGTATGGCTATGAGGCTTGTTATCTCACATTTTAGGTGGCTGATCCATTGGGAAGCACATCACTGTGTGTACTTCTTATGTTCACTAGGGTGAGTGTGCCCTTCCGCTTACTCAAGTTAAACTCTAATGCCACACAGAGAGAACTTGAAAAGTGCCCATACCACTTACTATTCCCTCCGTGAGTACTACTCTATAGTGGTCTTCAGGGCCTTTAAGTTTAGTTGAATATTATGCATGCCCTCTCTTGCCTCATTTTAGAGTCAATATAACATTTTTTTAATCAGAAATTTAAATAGCTGTAAATTATATAATTCCCAGATTAAATAATTGTAAATTACATAATTCTCTACATTCGCATTTTTCAAGTAAAACCATCACTTAAAATTCTTGTGACCCTTAAAATCTTTAAAAATAACATTTCCTGCATTGTTATTATAATTCTTATGAATATAATTGATCAAGCTACACAAATATATTACATATTTTATAATAAATTAGTTTAAACAGAAAATTTCTTTAAAATGTTTAATGAGATAGATGAATTTATTCATTTTTTAAATTTTTATTATTTATTTTTATTTTTTATTTTTTGGAATTGGAGATTGATTAAAGGGGTGCTTTCCCACTGAGCTACATCCCCAGCCCTTTTTACTTATTTATTATTATTTTGAGACAGGGTTTCACTAAGTTGTTTACGGCCTCACTAAATTGCTGAGGCTGGCTTTGTGGATTTTCATAAAACTGGGGCTTCACTATTTGTTTTAATACTTATTTTTAGAATGACACATGGCTCACCATCAATTCCCCCTCTTTTCTAGTAATAGATTTTAAATCCTGAGAAATCTTATTCATACAAATATTATCTTGGAAAGGAACAATTTTGTTATAGTAATATCACTTAATTCTTAAACTCTTTCCAAATTATATGCAAAAATTAATGTAGCAAACTATCAGCAAATTTCATCATAATGATCTATCACTTAACAAATCAATCGGGTCTTCTTTTAATTTTGTTGAAAGCAAAAAACTGAAAACCAAACTTGCCACAGGATTTTTTACCTAGTTGTCAGAAGTATTCCAAAAAGGATTTATTATTTACTAATAATTACATGAGTTACTCTTTTCCTTAAAGACACCTTTTTTAACCCACTTGAAAAGTTTGGAATAATTAAAACACTGTTAATTTCTTTATGTCATCTGCCACATTTTGCAATAAAATGATTCTATCTTATCACACAAAACTTTAGAGTGAAAGAAAGATTTGGCTCATTTCATTTATGAGAGCGTTCACCACATGATTTAATTGATAAAGCTAGCCCTCAATGTCAAAGTAGCAGGCTAGATTAGACTTATTTTCATTTTGAAAAAGCATGACCTCATTTTTTCATTTTAAATAAATGTACCCCAGTGACAGTTATCCTATCCTGAATTTACAACAGCCCGACACCCTTGATTATAACTGCTTTATTTATTTTTTTAAATATTTATTTTTTTAGTTGTAGTTGGACACGGTACCTTTATTTTTATTTTTATGAGGTTGAGGATCAAACCCAGGGCCCTGTACATGCTAGGGGAGTGCTCTATTGCTGAGCCACAATCCTAGCCCATAACTGCTTTATTTTTAACAAAAATATAAGATATAGATAAATTCAGACAGCCTTATGGTGAATTTAAGGTCCCTAAAGAAAAATTCATAGACAGTAATATTTTCAATTGTCCTCTTACTTGGCATCCCAAAGACTTTTATACCTCAGAGAAATGAACCACATAAAATTTGGGATGAATAAGGAGGAGAGTACTTCTGAAAAGGGAAGTGGGAAAAGAGAACCAGTGTGATTTTTAACCACAGGGTTGATCTCAGGTAGTTGTGTGCTAAAGGTCTGGAAATTGGGTTCCTTAAAATTGTGCTTGGAAAGTCTTCAAGTGCCCCAAGAGGATATAAGCCCATTTTGAAGACCACTGCCCTAAGAGAAAGAAACTTGAAAAATGACTGCTATTAGACAATCCTCCTTGCTACCCTGAGATACTTAGTTTTGTCCAATTAGGACTTTGAAGGAGCTTCACAACAGCTTAAAAGTATGTAGGATTTTAAGAGTTTTTAGGTCTTAACTGCCCTCGCTAGGTGTGGTGGCACACCTATAATCCCAGTGACTCAGGAGGCTGAGGCAGGAGAGTCTCAAAAGTCCAACTCCAATCTCAGCAACTTATCGAGACCCTCAGTAATTTAAAGACCCTGTCTCAAAACAAAAAAATATATAAATAAATAAAAAGGGCTGGGGATGTAACTCAGTAGAAAAGTACCCCAGGGTTCAATCACCAGTGGGGAGAAAAAAAAAAAAGACTACATTGTAGAAGTTAAGGGCAGGCACTGTGCCAATATAGAGCATATATTGTAAGTGCTTAAAGAAACCTTTTTTTGATAATACTTTTGATAATAACATTGGAAAGGCTGTGGGACCCTTTTTGGCATTTATGTCCTTGTCTTTGTGTTGTATAGAACTCAATTTCTTGTTCTACACTCAAAAGGCTTTCAGTTTCTACCTCTTCCTATAACGTACAAAGTCCCCATCCCCAGATCAGTACATTTTCTTTGGAGAATTCTACTTTTATCATGGCTCCATTCTCTCACCTGTGTTTATTTATTTATTTTATTTTTTCATTTATTATGTAGTATTTTCCTGCCTAGGCTCTAAACCATTATTATTAGGTCATTTATATAAAGTTCACTGTTAAACACATGCCATAGGCTATACAAAGGCCTCCAGGAAAAAGGCTGCAGGTAAGAACATCTCTCATCACCCCGGTTTATTTTGTTCTGTAGCATCTTGGCTTCAGAGAGGAGGAAGTACACTAGTAGATTCCAGAATGGTGGCTGGGTCTTGTTATGAGTAAAGCCTGATTCGCTGTCACAAGGGCATGTGCTTGGCCAATCTTATGCTTTCTCCTATGTTGTTGGATTGGTAAAGAGATGGGGGCCTCCTCTGCCTTACTACTCCTCTCTTGTTTGGGCATCCCCATTGAGTCATTGAGTCATTCCCCTGAACCAGTTCTATTCAAAGTGTGATTCAAAGATCAATGCTAGTATAAGATGTGTTACTGGTTTGCAAAGAGACAAGCAAAGAAACTGAGAGAAACATTTAGAAATTTTTATAGCAATTAACATAGTCATAACATTTAAGAATGTGATGACTTTTCCAGAAATTCATTGTTATTATATTTTATAATGGTATCAGTTTATGAAGAATAGGGAAAAAATAGAAATTAGTCCTTCACCACAGTTTGGGACACACTCACTGTTCTAAAGCTGGAGATGGTACCTTAAGATGCACAGGTACAGAGGAAGAGTTTATTTCTCAACTCCCAAGAAAGGTGGCCATGCCACACCATGGAGGACCATGTGTAAAGTGTCAGGGATGGCTAGGAGGCAGGATTGAGTGGGAAAGCATAGCCCAGAGCCTTTATTGTAGTTTGATTCTCCAGGAATGAGTGAAGCAGAACAGATAACTTTAGGACTGGACAGTCAATAATTTTAGAGGGGTTTGGATTATAGAAGTGATACTTGGTAACTAGTACCTGACCCTGGGTGGTTTGGGGCAAGAGAAATACTGGCTTGTTTTTTGAGTTAGACAGGAGATGACTTGGGGTATGAGCTCTGGATCTGTTGATCTACATATGAAAGGCATGCTCAAAAGCAAGTATGAAGTTCTAGTGGCAACATGTCTATAATCCCAGTGGCTTGGGAGGCTGAGACAGAAAGATTGTAAATTCAAGGCTAGTCTCAGCAATTTAGTAAGATCCTGTCTTTAAAAAAAAAAACATAAAAAAAAGGCAATGTGACATAGAACACTCAGGGTACAGGTCTAGATGTTAACAGATTAGGAACTTATATTACCCTGAGGGCCTCACTGGAGAGAAAAATGACTAGGGGAAAAAAAGGACTCAGACATTTTGGGGTGTCTTTGTTAAATTCCACAATCATCCTTAACACCATCACTCCATGTCCTAAGAAGTGAAATCAAGACCCTTCCAACTCTGATTCCAATTTACTTATTACATTTTATCTTTCACTATTTCCCCTCACACACCTGGCCATACAGTCACCCTGCCTTCAGGACTTTATTTTCTCCATTTCCAGTGCACACTCCATTTTCAACTATGGAAGAGCATATTGCCTGATCATCTTTATATCTCGTGGGCTATTTTGCATATGAGATACAACATTTAGCTTAATTAACAAGTATTTCAATTATACACTGCAAGTAAGTCACCTGGATTGAACCCATATTTTATATTCAGCCAATATGGGTGCTGACACTACCCTATACATTAGTCCCCAACCAAGGAAAAGAGGTTTCATTTGTTTGAAGATAAAATTAAATTTTGTTTAATGAAATACTAATATGTCTGAGGACTTATCACTCTATTAATTCCTGGAATCGAGTTAGATTTATGAGATGATTAGATCTTACTTCTTGTTTTCAAAATCTTTCCTGCCAACCAACTAGATCCTTCTGGTCCTTTTCAGATGGTCACAACACAGCTAATTAAAGATATCACCTTAGGTCTAAGTACTTCTTAGAAGAATGGCTTTGAGGTGTTCAGGATTTGAGGGAGCAGATCTCACAGAAAAATCGACTGTCGGGATTTCAGGGCACCCACAGGTCTACAACAACTTGGATATTTAGAATCTGACAAATGGGTGATTTTCAATGTTCTATTTCCATGCCATATTTCATTTTTAA